TGCCTCCACTGCACAGTTGAATTGAGTTATTGACCAGCCTTTTTGTAAACTAAATTTACTGCTTTCGCCCTTTTCCCCCATTGATTTAATCTTCATGTAATTGATTCCTTCTCTGTGGGCTTCTCTCTGCTCTGCTCCCCCTCTCTACCTCAGGTTCCCCCTATGCCTTTAAAGAGCTGCTTGGGAAGTTAAGCGCAGAGCAGTGGTGCACCCTGCTGCCAGCAAGGCAAATAAATACCAATTGCACCATAATAGTAGGTGATCTTGGCCTAATTAAAACATCTTAGTTATAATCTCAGAGGACAGGAAATACCATATAAGGTCGTGCCACCAACTGACACAGTATTATCAGGTGTTCATTACACATCCCTGGTGTTATTGTTTTCCCACGTTGCCAACCTCCAGGTTTGGTGCTCGGAAACCTTCCTGTTACCACAAAATTACACAATAGTGATAGCCTCCTTCTGTAATTTCAAGGCAAATGTGTTGTTCCAGAGGACCAGAAATAGGTTCTAGCTTCTCTCTCTCGCATCCGTCCGCCCCTTAATTGCTGTACAAAAAAAATAATGAAGAGTGTTGGCTTCCAAGAGCAGCAACCCTCCTAGTCTCGGCCACTTCCTTTACCTTGTCCTCACCAGGCATTCCGATATAGATTAGCTGGAAATCTTTCCTGCTCTGCCAGGATAATCCCTTGACCGTGTATTAGGAATGATTTAGGCACACTGTATTCCGGGCAGAGCAGGACATGGCTGGATCTCAGCTTTCATTGCACCCCCCATGATTTGGGTGTTCCGATTGTTTTACATTGTTGAGGGGGGGGGGGGTTATTTTGTGGTTGAAGAGGGGTGCAAGAAAGTGGGCAATTTATACTACTTATGCTGGGAAAACAGAGTTCAAAGTCATCATGTGGATGTGAGTAGAGGAATTAGGGTCACTGGTAAAGGGCAGAGTCTGGGCCCTTGGAGGAGAGTGTGTGTGTTTGTGTTTGTGTGTGTGTGTGTATGTGTGGTTTGAAACCAGGGGGTCCTGGGAGTGAAGTTATTAAGAGGTTTGAAGTCTGAGGGGTATTTCCACATCTTTCAGCCACACGGACCGACGTTACCCACCACAAAGCTGGGTTACATTCATCCGTCAGGATTATTAGTAATATGAATGAGGATTTCAACAAAAGAGCGATGAATGCCCTAGTGTGGGAGATGGAATAAGTGTACATTGACATGTTTCATTGGAGACAGTAATACATACACAAAAAGGTTCCAAAAGGGTTCTTCAGCTTTCCCCATAGGATAACCCTTTTTGGTTCCAGGTAGAACCCTCTGTGGAAGAAGTTCTACATAGAACACAAAAGGGTTCTACCTGGAACCAAAATTGTTCTACCTGGAACCAAAAGGGTTCTACCTGGAACCAAAAAGGGTTATTCAAAAGGTTCTCCTATGGGGGCATCCAAAAACTATTTTAGGTGTATAGACAGTGTGTATAGACAGTGATACATAACATAGAACATCCAATAGAAATGTGAGCTGGAGGATATAGGCATGATGTCCACAGTCGTTTCTGACAGCACTCTGTCAGGTTCTATATAGTTATCTGAGACTCTATAACCTGTGAAAGAGTGTCATCACACAAGGCTGTGTAATAACGCAGTATATCAAGCCTGCACTACCGCAGATCGAATGTGTGTGTGAGTGTGTGTGTGTGTGTGTGGCGAGCTAAAATCAGGAGCAAATGGTTCTCCAACAAGATTTATAATTTTACGACATGATCTCAAGCTGTGCCGGAGCTCCCTGGAGTGGGCCGGGTCAGCATTTGTCATTTTAATTATTCATTCATGGAAACACACTGTGACTGTGTTGTCTTACTCAGAGTGACTGCCTGGGTGTCGAAGCAGTGGCAGTCCCAGGTCCCAAATGGCACCCTGTTGCCTATATAGTGCATTACTTTTGATAGGGCTTTGGTCAAAAGTAGTGCACTAAATAGAGAATAGGGTGCCATTTGAGATGCGAACCCAGTCCCACACCGGGTACATTATACAGCCATGGAAAATCCCTTCGCTGATGGGCCAGTCCCAGGGGAGAAAAGACTGGCTTATTTCACCTAAAGTGAATAGGACAGTATGTGTAAGACAGGGGTTTTAGTGGTTTTGCAGCTCAGTGCCTGTGTTTGAAAGCATGCTCTTTCAGCAACGTGGGTGGCAAGGTTTCTTCTTACTACCATCTCTCCCCAGTATTGTAGTTGGCTCTTTGCACTTGTCAGAGCCATTGCTCACTTGCTCGGAAAATGTTAATATTGTTTCATAATGAAAGCCGAGAGGGACGTTGTTGAATTCCCCCACACACACAGCACAGCCCGCAGGACGAGAGAGCTTGTTGTCATCGCAGATGTCCAAATTCAATTACCATATTTATTGTTTTCCTATTTCTTTCCTGAGGAGGGCATTCTCTCCACGCAGACGGTCCCAGTGCTGTGTTCCCGTAGCTACTCCTCCATGTGAAATCACAGTGTGTCACGTCAACACAGGACAGAGAACAACAAGCACAAGCAAAAAGAAACTTTCCACTCCTTCCTGATCCTCCTCCTTTCTCTCTCTCTCTCTCTCTCTCTCTCTCTCTCTCTCTCTCTCTCTCTCTCTCTCTCTCTCTCTCTCTCTCTCTCCCCCTTCCTCTCCTCCCACTCCTTGTTGTCCTTTATTTGTAGCCTAACACTTGGCATTAAATCTTATTATTTTTTGGTAAATAAACCTGTTTCTGGTAGGAATTACACACAACTTAGTGTGAGGTCCTTTTCATAAAGGGGCCCTGGAACCTTTAATCTAAAAGGTTTTCTATTTGTGCTGCTTTGAAAGAGAGAAAACAGGTTTTCTCGCACTTCTGGGGGTGAGTTTGGGATTCTGTCTGGGCATTGTGGTGAGAGTTATTCCAAGAGGCTGCATTTCTTCCTGATTTCTCCCCTTTGTTCTCAGCTATGCTGTAAGTAGTTCCAGGTCCCCCCCCCCCCCTCCCCCCACACACACACAAACACACACACACTCATCTGTGTGTGCGTCTGTGTGCATGTGAGGGCAACGCGACATGACACCTGCTGTTGGGATGAATGGGGTCAGCGGCAGGGCCCATCCAGCAGCTGCCTCTTCCCACTGCAGCCACAGACACTCACATTGCCAGATAGAGCCCTGCTAGTACAGCCACAACCAGAACCAAAGGGACTGGGGCCCACATAGCACACAACATAGCACCCCCTACCACCACCCACTGTCACTGCAACCTCAGAGAGAGCAGACAGTGCAGGAATGGGACATGTCATTATGCTGTCACTGCAGAAAGGGTTGGGGATTAGAGAGGTGCTGAGAAACAAGACATTTGGTTTGTTTGGTCTGACCTGTCTGACCTGTCTGTGCTCTCTTGCTGTGTGTGTGTGTGTTTGTGTGTGTGTGAGTGCTTGTGTGTGTAGAGTGTGTAGCTGCTTGTTTTAGCCTGATTTCCTGCCATGATGGGTTATGAAGTGGGCATGACCATGTTAGTAAGTCAGAAGTATTATTGTGACCAAATATGGATTCAAAGGCAATTGTCGCTCCGGAATCCAAAATCATGAAACGCCTACAATCCCGATTGACTTCCATTCCCATGTGAAGGGCAAGAGAAGCCACAATACATTACAGAGCCCACACAACATTAATAATAACACACATTATTGGTTGGTCCCCATTCAACAATTATACCTTTATTCCACACACTTTACATAATCAAACAGCTGATCTCTCAAAATGCCTTAGTTAATTAACATGACTTAACAAATACATGCATTTCAACAACTTTCTGTTATGTAGCCTATCTATGAACCAATCTATGGAGAAGTCAGGGAGATGCTGCTATCTATGATCCCATGTATGGAGAAGTCAGGGAGATGCTGCTATCTATGATCCCATCTATGGAGAAGTCAGGGTGATGCTGCTATCTATGATCCCATCTATGGAGAAATCAGGGAGATGCTGCTATCTATGATCCCATCTATGGAGAAGTCAGGGAGATGCTGCTATCTATGATCCCATCTATGGAGAAGTCAGGGAGATGCTGCTATCTATGATCCCATCTATGGAGAAGTCAGGGTGATGCTGCTATCTATGATCCCATCTATGGAGAAGTCAGGGTGATGCTGCTATCTATGATCCCATCTATGGACAAGTCAGGGTGATGCTGCTATCTATGATACCATCTATGGAGAAGTCAGAGTGACATATATCCTCCCTTATCTTTCCACCAGAGGTCAGCCTTTTATTAACAAATAATGACGTATACACTCCTCTCAAAGAATAGTCCCTATGGAAAACAACCTCCAGAATGGGAGGTTTCGTGTACACCCACTGGCCTGTCAGAAAATTAGCTAATCACTCACTACATGAAGTCCCTATCAAAATCTCTTATGCTGACAACATGTGTATTGTGAAATTGGTTACGAATGCCAAAGCAGCAGTATGGCAGTGCGTGTGAAACTTGTTCTTACCCATGACCTTTTCCGAGACAATAAGCTGGGAAACTTAAACAAAGGAAAATTCCATGTCATCACAGAGCGTTTTGAGTCTGAAGCGCGTCAGGCAGACTACAGAGTGTGGTTCCTTGACGAGTGTATTTGTCAAATGAGTGGCTTCTTTGACTTTGACTGACATCAAACAGTAGACCACTAATGGCGCCGAGTAGCAATCTAGGGTCTTTGTTGACTAACTGAAGAGAGGCAAATGATAGGTTAAAACAGAACGTTACCACACTTTCCAGTTGTGTGAGGAATTCTTAGCATTTCTCGGCTTTTACTATGTTGTGATAGTGACACGCCACCTCAATTTACCCCATTTACCCCCAATCTACCTCATGAATTGTCCTATGAGGCTGCTTCAACACAAATGTATTTTCCTCCTAGAGTTCTCCTGTGCTGCTTCGACACGGCTCGACCCAAAATGGCCGCCAGTAACTACTTCACAACAGTGTTATCAGTCAGAACCAGAGGCACCGTCAGAGCTGCGTTTGTTGCGGTTGTTGTATGGGCCTGGTCCTTTTGGAGAGTTTGTACTGGTAGTACATGGAGGTCTTGGAGTGAGAGGCTCTCCGGGGCCAGCACGTGTGGCCGTCCCCAGAGTAGTCCTCCAGACACTGACAAGTGTAGGAACCAGCGGTGTTGAAACACTGGGAATGACGGCTACACAGATGAGTACTGTCCAGACACTCGTCCTTATCTGGGGAAAGAGAGAAGGATACGATGAAATGATGAGAAAGGGATGATTATCAGCACCAGGCAATAAAGCTAAGAGTATTAACATCAATATATAAGTATTATTTTGTCAGTCCCATCATAACTGAAACAACCATATCTAAAGTATCAACAGATCTGAATTCAAATCAGTAAATTCTCCATTGAATCTAACACTGAGACACGTGTGGATGTTTGTAGAATGTTTTCCAGATGTTCTAATCTACAGTACCAGACAGCATCTGTGTCAAAGTCAGCTTTGTGTTTACTTCTCTTCTCTCTCCTCTCTTCTACTCTCCTCTCGCGAGATTCTTTCTCCTCTTTTTCCTCTCTCTCTCGCGCTCTCTCCTCTTCTCTTCTCTCTCTCGAGAGAGAGAGGAGAAGAGAAGGGATTCTCTTCTCTCCTCTCCTCTGAGATCGACGAGGTCTAGAAGAAGAGAATAGGAGATCTCTCCCCTCGGGTGGGAGAGCTCCTCCTGAGACGATCCTCTCTCGTCTCGATTCTCTCCTCTTCGCTTCTCTCCTCTCTGCTCCTCTCTCTTCGTCTCGTCCTCTCTCCGATATCTCTCTCTCTTCTCTCTCTCCTCTCTCTCTCCTACTCTCTCTCGCTCTCCTCTCTCTTCTCTCTCTCTTCTGTATCTCTCTCTTTGTGTTTACTTGGCCCTGATCACAATGCTACTCATCACGTTCAACAAAAACAGGTGGTCTGTTGTATTAGCAAGTCTGACTGTGTTTCAGTGTTACTTCTCCTTTGCCTGTGGGCTCTGAATTTGGCAGACCCAAACCAAGCTGAAAAGCAGAGACCAAACCCATGTAGTTTTACAGTAAGACCCATGCTTGTTTTGAGTATTACTGGATAGCTTTTCCACCTTTTCACAGGCTCTGAGGTGAAGACATTATCGGCCAACCAGCACACAGAGAGAGCCAGCAGGAAGTCATGACTTGACTTGGCCCCTGCCTGCGACTCACTGAGTGTGAAGTCAAGGGGTTGTTGAGTTACGACTAGTCTGTTTCAAAGCTCCAGGAAATAGGTGTTGCAATGTTCGCCAAGGAAGCATAAACAATAACAGCTACCACAGCTGAGTGAGCGGGGAAGGCAAGCTAGAGAAATACATTCAGGCTCTCACTGGGTTGCTGCGGCCAAAGCTCATCTACAGATGATCGGTCTGTTTGACAATGAAACGTAGGCTAAATGAGAGGAACATGTGAGGGCATGCTGTGAGGTAGTAATTCATTTAAACAGAACTGACACTGAGAAAAGTGGGTCTGTGGCTTACACACACCCACACGCACGCACACACACACACACACACACACACACACACACACACACACACACACACACACACACACACACACACACACACACACACACACACACACACACACACACACACACACACACACACACACACACACACACACACACACACACACACACACACACATAGTACCACCACTACCGAAGCATCTTTTACGAGACACATGGCGATCTGCTGAGAGATGCTGAAGGAAGGAATTATATTAATGTCATGAAGTGGGTATAGTCACACGCACACACTTGCCCGAACGCACACACACACACACACACACACACAGATCTAAGGCTTAGAGGACAGCCTGCTTCTCTAACATTCCCTGTTAATATTAATACTGGTATCTAAGAGCCTTACATTCCCTGTTAATATTAATACTGGTATCTAAGAGCCTTACATTCCCTGTTAATATTAATACTGGTATCTAAGAGCCTTACATTCCCTGTTAATATTAATACTGGTATCTAACAGCCTTACATTCCCTGTTAATATTAATACTGGTATCTAAGAGCCTTACATTCTCTGTTAATATTAATACTGGTATCTAAGAGCCTTACATTCCCTGTTAATATTAATACTGGTATCTAAGAGCCTTACATTCCCTGTTAATATTAATACTGGTATCTAAGAGCCTTACATTCCCTGTTAATATTAATACTGGTATCTAACAGCCTTACATTCCCTGTTAATATTAATACTGGTATCTAAGAGCCTTACATTCTCTGTTAATATTAATACTAGTATCTAAGAGCCTTACATTCCCTGTTAATATTAATACTGGTATCTAAGAGCCTTACATTCTCTGTTAATATTAATACTGGTATCTAAGAGCCTTACATTCCCTGTTAATATTAATACTGGTATCTAAGAGCCTTACATTCCCTGTTAATATTAATACTGGTATCTAAGAGCCTTACATTCTCTGTTAATATTAATACTGGTATCTAACAGCCTTACATTCCCTGTTAATATTAATACTGGTATCTAACAGTCTAACATTCCCTGTTAATATTAATACTGGTATCTAAGAGCCTTACATTCCCTGTTAATATTAATACTGGTATCTAAGAGCCTTACATTCCCTGTTAATATTAATACTGGTATCTAAGAGCCTTACATTCCCTGTTAATATTAATACTGGTATCTAACAGCCTTACATTCCCTGTTAATATTAATACTGGTATCTAAGAGCCTTTACATCCTGCTGTACAGTATGGGGGATGTCCGTACCTCGACACTGCACTGAGTCCTGGAGCGTCCCCAACACGAAGCCCTCCCTGCACACACACACAAAGCTGCCGAAGGTGTTCTTGCAAGTACGCCGGGGAGGGCAAACATCTGACGCCCTTCGACACTCGTCCACATCTGCAAAACAACACAACAAGGCCAAAGAAACTCAACACCTGAGCATGCATAAACACACACACACGTACACGCACACACACACACACACTAGATGTAACATATGAAAGGGAGACGACAAAGTGCTTTAAAGAACCTACAGTTGTTTTCTCAGCTCAAAACAACCATTACCTATACATCAGAAAGAGCAAATGAGTGCTTTGGCCATCTTGGTAGTTCTTTGGACAGGTGCTTTGAAATGTACACCGCTGTTGTTCAACAACAAGGAATGACAACACACTCACACACAATAACAACTTATGTGATACTTTTCAGGTGCTTCTCTCACTCTGTAACTAGCACAATTCTAATTTGATTCAAATGTAGATATGGTTGAAATGAAGTCTAATTAGTTATATTGTATATCCCACAATATGATGTCACTTCAGACACTGAGGAGTTGTCCCATAGGGGGAATGACACCTGTCAGGATGATGCTATGGTTGGGACTTTGTTCTCAGGCTTCTGTGAAGCTGCCTATGTCACACTAGGTCAGGGCTCTCCAACCCTGTTCCTGGAGAGATACCCTCCTGTAGGTTTTCACTCCAACCCCAGTTGTAACTAACCTGATTCAGCTTATCGACCAGCGAATTATTCGAATCAGGTGCGTTAGATTAGGGTTGGAGTGAAACCTCCAGGACGGTAGCTCTCCAGGAACAGGTTTAGAGAGCCCTGCTGACTGGCTGCTGCAGTACATAGAGAAGGGGTGTTCAAATCTGACCCTACGAGGTCCAGAGTACTGCTGGTTTTCTGTCCGACCTGATAATTAATTACACCCACCTGGTGTCCCAGGTCTAAATCAGTCCCCGATTAGAGGGGAACAATAAAAAAAAAGCAGTGGAACTGGCTTGGAAATTCAGATTTGAATTTGAGGGACCTAGAGTACGACTCTTATTCTTTGATTTCCCTGCCATGCTACCGGTATGCTACCCATGTTCCACTGTAACTACCTACAGTATATGACTGTTATGATTTCTCTGAGGTCTCAGGTCTGGTTGGTTAGTTCCTACAGCTACTCTCCTGTGGTGTGAGAATGAGGCTGTAATGGCTCTCAGGATCAACCATGGAGGCTGGGCCTCGTTAACAGGACAGGAGGTGTCTACTGCGAGGACTTTACGACCACACCACAGTTATCGAGCTAGGGGACTTCAAAGTAATGAGCGCTAGGTAGGCTGAAGAGAGGGGAAAGAGTAAAGTATAGCTACGGGGACCTGGGGTCTGTTTTCTTAACACTTGAGGTAATTACAGGGTTTATCGTTCTGTGGACAGACTCAGTGGGTAGGCGCTGTTAGTAGTAGCTGGGTGGAGGTCGTTAACATGTCCTCTAGTAGCGTACATATGGGAACCTGTCTCTCCACCTGTTCTCTAATGGCAGCCAAAGACAGAACTAGTAGCTACACACTGGCACGCTATGATCAGTATATCCCGTAGTAATGCCAAGGGAATGGACCAACTCTGGGCTGTTTCCCAATCCCAGCCCCCCCTTGCTTCTTCCCATATAGCATTGGAACTGAAGGAACTAGAGAGGGGAGGGAGGAGTAGGGTTGTTGCCATGGTGATGGGGTTACCATGGGGTTGCCGAGGAAGCCCACCTTCACAGGTCCTGTTGTCGGCGGCCAGGTGGAGGCCGGGGGCACACAGACAGCGCTCCTCTCCCACCCGGTCGATCTGGCAACCGAACTGGCAGCGAGCGGAGGAACACTCAGGATCTTCTGGAAGAGAACACAGGACAAACTGGCTGAGAGTAGAGGCAGAAATGGATGGTTGGAACGAACACATGCCACCACACACAAACCATGTCCTGTATTGTAATACGATAGACCCACAAGCAGTGATATGAAACCAGCTTGGTTTCGTCTTGTGTCATACTCATATTAAAGATTTTCCTTGCTTTAGATTGATTACACCATGTATGATAACAGTTAATCCTCTATATTGCCGCCACAGGGTTGGGGAGTAATGGATTACAAAAAAACTGTAACTGTAACGTTACCAGCAAAAATATTGTAATCAGAATACAGATAGGCCTACTTTTGAACAACTAGATGATTACTTCTAATTCAGAAAGGATTTACTTTATGTTACTGAGTTTGGATAATCCAAAAGTTATGTAAGAAATAGCTATTTAGTTATCTAAGAAGTTATGTAAGAATTAACCATTTTGGACAAGTAACCAGTAACTAACGGATTACATTTAGAAAGTAACCTACCCAACCCTGTGCCCCATACAACAAATGGCATACTCTAGATCAGGGTTTCCCAAACTCAGTCCTCAGAACCCCAAGGGGTGCACGTTTTGGTTTTTGCCCTAACACTACATAGCTGATTCAAATAACCAACTCATTATCAAGCTTTGATTATTTGAATCAGCTGTGTGGTGCTAGGGCAAAAAAAACAGGGGGGGGGGGACCAAGTTTCGGCAACCCTGCTCCTCAAAGTCTACGCCTTTGAGGAAGAAAGTGAATAAGACTTGACTCTATTGGCCCATGGACGACAGGGGGGTTCTGGGTAATTGATAAGCCAGACTGGAGGTACTGTGCATTCGGAAAGTAAAAATAACAAAATTAGACTCGAAATTGAGCTCAGGTGCATCCTGTTTCCATTGATCATCCTTGAGATGTTTCTAGAATTTGATTGGAGTCCACCTGTGGTAAATTCAATTGATTGGACATGATTTGGAAAGGCACACACATGTCTATATAACTCCCACAGTTGACAGTGCATGTCAGAGCAAAAACCAAGCCATGAGGTCGAAGGAATTGTCTGTAGAGCTCTGAGACAGGATTGAGTCGAGACACAGATCTGGGGAAGGGTACCAAAAACATTCTGCAGCATTGAAGGTCCCCAAGAACACAGTGGCCTCCATCATTCTTAAATGGAAGAAGTTTGGAACCACCAAGACTCTTCCTAGAGCTGGCTGCCTGGACAAACTGAGCATTCGGGGGAGAAGGGCCTTGGTCAGGGAGGTGACCAAGAACCTGATGGTCACTCTGACAGAGCTCCAGAGTTCCTCTGTGGAGATGGGAGAATCTTCCAGAAGGACAACCATCTCTGCAGCACTCCACCAATCAGGCCTTTATGGTAGAGTGGCCAGATGGAAGCCACTCCTCAGTAAAAGGCACATGACAACCCGCTTGGAGTTTGCCAAAAGGCACCTAAAGGACTCTCAGACCATGAGAAACAAGATTCTCTGGTCTAATGAAACCAAGATTGAACTATTTGGCCTGAATGCCAAGTGTCACGTCTGGAGGAAACCAGGCACCATCCCTACGGTGAAGCATGGTGGTGGCAGCATCATGCTTTGGGGTTGTTTTTCAGCGGCAGGGAAAGGGAGACTAGTCAGGATCGAGTGAAAGATGAACGGCGCAAAGTACAGAGAGGTCCTTGATGAAAACCTGCTCTAGAGCACTCAGGACCTCAGACTGGGGCAAAGGTTCACCATCCAACAGGACAACGACCCTAAGAACACAGCCAAGACAACACAGGAGTGGCTTCGGAACAAGTCTCTGGATGTCCTTGAGTGGCCCAGCCAGAGCCCGGACTTGAACCCGATCGAACATCTCTGCAGAGACCTGGAAATAGCTGTGCAGTGACGCTCCCCATCCAACCTGACAGAGCTTGAGAGGATCTGCAGAGAAAAATGGGAGAAACTCCCCAAATACAGGCGTGCCAAGCTTGTAGCGTCATACCCAAGAAGACACAAGGCTGTAATCGCTACCAAAGGTACTTCAACAAAGTACTGAGTAATGGGTCTGAATACTTATGTAAATGTAAGTTTAGATTTTAAATACATTTGCTAACATTTCTAAAAAGCTGTTTTTGCTTTGTCATTATGGGGTATTGTGTGTAGATTGATGAGGGGGATTTTTTAAAATCCATTTTAGAGTAAGGCTGTAACGTAACAAAATGTGGAAAAAGTCAAGGCCCCTAAATACTTTCTGAATGCACTTCAGCTGACGGGGAAGCTGAGCAGCCAATCAACACCCAGAAACACTGACCCTGGACCCCTTGTCTATAATAACATTTGACCCATAACAACACACCAGCACATGCAGTCCTGACACTGAGCCCTGTGGTATTCACAGTAGGATGAAGTTGCCCCCAAGACACTGATCTAAGGTCGGTTTTTGCATTGTACTCCCTAGTGTTTACTGATAGAGTTTAGAAGAGGGTGAGCTGATCCTAGATCAGTGCCTGAGGGCGACTTCTACCTGGGTGTTGTATTCCCTCTATGGTTGGGACATGATGTTCCAGGAAAGTGGGCAGAAACTGCTTTGAACTAGTACGGACTTGTGCAGGTTGATCCGTCTGTCATGAGGGTGTATCCAGGGTCGCAGTAACACCGGTAACTACCCTGGGTGTTCATACAGCTGTTCGAGCACGGTCGCTCTGGGAGACCACACTCATTCACATCTGGAATCAACAACCAACAACAATCAATCAGGAATCATATCAGGATCAGCATGCATGAATCACAGAGTCTGGAATGAACAATCAGTAATCAACATGCATGAATCAATCATAATATCTGGAATCAACAACCAGGAATCAACACGTATTAATCGCACAGTATCTGGAATCAACATGTTTGAACCATACAGTATCTGGAATCAACATGCATGAATCATACAGAATCTGAAATCAAAATGCATGAATCATATAGAGTCAGAAATCTCCACCTTGGTCACATTGCTGGCCCTTGTATCCCACAGAGCAGGAGCACTTGTCTGGATCCACACAGACTCCATTCCTGCAGGGCTTCTTACACACAGCTGGATAGTCAGAGAGAACAGATAAACACATCTGATAACCTCAGCTGGTGTATTGTTGTGGTTTCTGGATGACTTGCCCAGTGGCCGCTGACTTACGCTGGCAGACACCGTTGACATTCCTCCAGCCTAAACAGCAGGCTGTAGACGGGCCGAAGGTGCAGAGCCCCACGGACCCTGACGGCCCACCGAGACGCCCAGACACGTCCCTCACTGTCCTGGATTGATAGATGGAGGGGTGGATGGAGGAGAGATGGATAGGTGGATGGATGGAGGGGTGGATGAAGGGGAGGAGTGGGTTAATGGTTCATCAACCACAATTAAGAAAGACCCCAAGGTTTCTGCACTACCTTGTCTATAGTTGCTGTCATCAATGCCTTATTGGTGTTGCTACACAGTTTCTCTCCTCAACAGGATGACTAATATATATATATATATTTATATATATATATATATATATATATATATATATATATATATATACTGTATATATAAGTCTAATTGGGAGTGCAGAGGCTTGTGGAAGAGGATCTATAATCAATTGGTAACAACATATTAATAAGGAGTCACTATTATAAAGCATTGTAGTAAATACACCAGAACTCTGGAACACACTGGAACCATAGAATCAGTATTAATGTAATTATATTTCTATGACTGGAACTCATTTGGAGCTGTTGTAACTACTTATGAAACACCTTCTAGATTCACATGCAGTGGAGAGATGCCTTGACACACACATACTGTATTCCAAATGGCAATAATTGCTGTTTCATTAAAAAGAGGGAAATAAACAAAACTGCAGGGGAGATTGGATACCATTTACTGTGTAGCTGATGGTAAACCTTTCCTACAATCTTCAGTCCAAAATGCCAGAGGCAGTCATTTTGAGGGGTGCATACCTCCACACCAAAGTGGTGCATAATAAGGCTAGGAAAAGGAGACTATTGAGTGATTACTCCCAAACCAAGTGGGTCTAACAATTCACAGACTTTAGAATATAGGAACGGGAAGTACTAGAACAGTAAAGAAAAGTCTCTACAACTGGATAGTCAGGTGTCATGAGATAAAATAACCTACAATCATGATCAGTAAATAAATAATGCGATTTAGCCTGCATCATCACCCTGCATAGAATTTCCTTAGCGGCAACTGCAAATTATAGTTGTTTCATACCTGTTCCTGTCCGGTTGAAAAGCCATGGAGAACGCAATAAAACGCATGGTGATCACCAGCACCCGCTGGCGCACCGGATGCGCGCTGACAACAGCAAATACCATCATATCACGAAGGTAATTGTCAGCTCATAAAACAGCTACATATTATTTTCCTTATTTTGTGATCAGCGCATTTCAGAGACACGTTATTGTGCCAGCATGTCTCCCGCCTTGAGTCTGGAGGAAGGCGAGGTCACCTCCTAGTTAATTTTATGATTGAGTGTCAAGGAACTTTGGGAATTTTGTCCAATAGGTGGGACAGGTTACCTGGCGGGCGAGAGAGAGAGAGAGAGAGAGAGAGAGAGAGAGAGAGAGAGAGAGAGAGAGAGAGAGAGAGAGAGATGGACAACTTTCAATATCACATTGAAATAATAAATACACAGACAGAAAATCAGTTTTTATCCACACAAATGTAGTTTGAATATTGTCGGATTAACGCCCACATGAGGACGTGACTGACTCTGGACCAAAGGTCTCTCCCACCGTCTGTCTCTCTCATGTAAGAAAGGTGTATCTGTCTCTCTCATGTAAGAAAGATGTATTTCTTATGGGAATCAGAGTTTATAGGCCCATTTTGTGATAATAAGCGCGGGAATCACCAGTGGCAACGGCAGAACCAATGCCTTTGAAGTAACACGCTAAACCGTGAACTATTTCCAGGCATGATCAGTGAGCAATCAGTTCTATTAGACTCAGAGGCAGAGATCATGGTTAATCTCCTGCATGGTGGGCTGAATGAAACAAATAGTGATCACACAAGGCACCATATAGGACAGTTAAAGCGAAACAAGCTGTGAATTGATTTGGGAGATTACTTCAATGGGCAATGCAAAGTCATGCTTTTCCTATTGCTTCCTCTGATAAGGACGAAAGTTGGATGTATTTATTTCAAAACACCGAGTTGATTGCATCCCTATGTAGGCCTGCATTACATCACGCTTGTTTATCCTGAGAGGGAACAAGCTCCCCTGCTCCAAATCAACACTGCAATTTGTTCGACCCCAAAACAAGTAAAGACTTACTGTAAATGGCACATATTTGGCAGCGCTCTCCAACCCCCCTGTGGTAGATAGACAGCCCCAGGTTTCCTCTGACCATACTGCAGAGCCACCATCCACCACGCACTGTACAGGGAACCACACATGTGAGGCATTTAAACCTCCGCAACCACACATGGCATCCAACCTCCAACATCTAACCAATCACAGTGATTAAATAATTTGGCATCGGGGGTAGTGGTGGGGGTGGACTGCTCTCTTTCTAGACACGCACATGCACACGCACAGTGTGTTTTTTGTCAAGTGCACCGCTGCGCATCACCACGCGAGGTAGAAGAAACCATACAGTAAAATCCCAGGCGAGCCTCAGAGCTCATTCGTCCTTATGATACAATTAAACACAATCCTGCCTGGAAAAGAAAGAAGGGAAGAAAAAAAGAGAAGTGTAGTTAGTGACCATGGTGAACAGGAGGAGGAGAGGGAGGGAGGGACGAAGGCTATGTGTGTGGATAGCGCAGTGTGTGGCATTCTCTGTCTATCGCTCCCCTTTTCCCTCTCTCTCTTGCTCTCTTTCTATCTTTTTCCCACTTTCTCTTCAATGCTCTGTGGTTTTCTTTTGTATGGTATAATTATCTTTCTTTCTCTCTCTCTCCCTCATCTCTCTCTTCTTCCTCCCTCTTTTTCTCTCTCACCCTGTTTGCTTTAAAAGCCCTGGGGTACTTGAAGTGCAGTGATGCACTGGAGGAGATTGTTCTACCCTCGATTATGCCCACATACATTTTTGTGGGAATGGTTCATTTGCAGCTCCCCAAAGTACATCAAATCATCAAGTCCTCCTCTCCCACAACATCATAGCTATACAGTGCAGTGGTGGTCTGTCTCCTCAACCTGGGGGGCAGTCTCAGCCTTACAGACGCCATGTATAGCTACATATAGAGTAGATCAGCCATACAGCCAGACAGTGCACCCTAGCTCAGACATAAGGTATAGAAACGGATAGAGTAGAATAAATCATCCATACAGACAGACAGTTCTCACCATGGCTCAGAAGCCAGGTATAGAAGCAGATAGAGTAGATCAGCCATACAGACAGTTTTCCATAAGAGTAGATCATTCATACAGACAGTTCTCCATAACGCAGTCCCTATAGAATACACATTAGAGTAGATCAACCATACAGACAGTTCTCCATAACTCAGACCTCAGGTATAGAATCAATAGACAATAGAGTAGATCAGTAGCGTCATATAGGTGTAAAGGGAAAAGTGGGGCCACCCAACTGGATCAAATGAAGAGCCTTTAACAGTATATTAAACCCTTCTATCAGATGCACCAAAGCCTTCAGGGTTGAAGCAACCGTGCATGGCATTTAAACCTTTAAACCGGCAACTGTCAAAACAGGCACCAGGCAGGCTGAAACAACAACAAACAGTGTTGGAATTTAATGTGCAACAAATCAAATCAAAACTGTTGGAATAGTGACTGAACACACATATTCAGTATTTGTTCCATGTGGGAATGGAGCCCACAACTCCACCACTCCACCATGGAGACCCCACTCTCCCAGGGTGTCTCAGGTGGAGTTGGGATATGCATAAAACCCATTTCCAATTCACACGTGCGTATAAATACACATTTGTACATGTGTGAAACACGACAAATATAAGCACCCACCAAATTATTATTATTATTATACTCCAACCATTTAGTCACCTGAAGCAGCAGTGATGGTAGTGACAGTGTTGGTCTAGTGTTGAAGAAGCAGTGATGGTAGTGACAGTGTTGGTCTAGTGTTGAAGAAGCAGTGATGGTAGTGACAGTGTTGGTCTAGTGTTGAAGCAGCAGTGATGGTAGTGACAGTGTTGGTCTAGTGTTGAAGCAGCATTAGTGGTAGTGACAGTGTTGGTCTAGTGTTGAAGGAGCAGTGATGGTAGTGACAGTGTTGGTCTAAGACACCCAAAGCAGCAGTGATGGTAGTGACAGTGTTGGTCTAGTGTTGAAGCAGCAGTGATGGTAGTGACAGTGTTGGTCTAGTGTTGAAGCAGCATTGGTGGTAGTGACAGTGTTGGTCTAGTGTTGAAGAAGCAGTGATGGTAGTGACAGTGTTGGTCTAGTGTTGAAGCAGAAGTGATGGTAGTGACAGTGTTGGTCTAGTGTTGAAGCAGAAGTGATGGTAGTGACAGTGTGAGGTTGGTCTAAGACACCTGAAGCAGCAGTGATGGTCGTGACAGTGTGTGGTTGGTCTAAGACACCTGAAGCAGCAGTGATGGTAGTGTGTCAGCGTAGTGTCAGCGTAGTTCAGTCAACCAGAGCTGTGAGGGAGGACTGCCACCTTCTGTCTGCTTCAGGAAGATAGACAACCCCCTTTTTTTTCTCGTAGCACTGTCTCCTATAGGCTAGGGCCCATATTCATAAAGCATCTCAGAGTGCTGATCTAGGATCAGGTTTTCCCTGTCCATTTAATCTTATGCATTTTGATCTAAAAGGCAACACTGATCCTAGATCAGCACTCCTACTCTGAGACAATTTATGAATATGAGCCCAGATGAGCACAGTCAGGAGTAAAAAATAGTAACTTGCTTTCAACTCCTTGTTCTCTACCGGCCTCTACCAATAGAACCTAAGCAACATTCCAATCAGAATCAACCCTCTGACTCTTTATTGAAGAACACAGAGAAAGTTCCGGTACCAACCAGCTCCGAGACTAGGTCTTAATGTGTTTAGCAGGAAGCCAGGCAGAGTGACAACAGGCTGGGGTCAGAGTTCATAGGGCGTGCAGCAGTGGGAGGAGTCTCCCAGGTGTGAGAGGGCATAGGTCAAGGGTCAGGGGTGAGGTCACCAGATGGGAGGGACACCTGCGAGGGCCTGATGAGAGCAGCAGGGAGGGAGGGGGGAGGGGACATTGGACAGAATGGACTGAATGACAGATCCCCAGCTAAACGGGAGGAGTGGGGAAAGAGGGGGAAGTCTGAAGTATCACTCCATCCATCACTATGTGGTCTGGTCACTGGATGGATGTGGGTTCAATGACCGACTCTGACTCAACCCACCCAGTCTGTTTCTAACTTTAGCTCCCTTATGGTGGACACACACACATACATGCATAGAACTACAAACGCATGCATGCATGCATACACACACACATACACGCACTAGTGATGGGGGGTGACTCATAACCTGCAGGGAGGGGGGTTGGTTTAGGGTAATGAAATATTGTGTGGATGAAGAGTGGGTTGAATAAAGAGAAAACAATACCTTTAAAAAATCCATAAATGTATAATTCTTGTGCAATTTATATCTATAGGCTACATTTAGGTTTTTCTTGTATTATTTTTGTCTATCTGGCATTGGTGCATAAGACTAAGCTTTAGGACCTAACTTTATGCGCGCCAAATAGCCTACAGCCAATCACCAAACGCTTTTGAGAACAGGCAGAAAAAGTTATCTTCGATCCACTGAGGCAAAAAGGACAATGTCCGAGTTTAATTCAATAAGAGAAAAACAGCGAAATGGAGAGTTTAAATAAAGAGAAGGAAGGGCCAGAAAAGTAATGTTTGGGAAAGGTTTGGTGACGTGGTAAAAGAGCATGATAGCAGTGCCGGCTATGTTGTGAGGCTATATACAAATTCGACAGTCAAAAGATGGGGACTTAGAATACTGTTCACGTAGCCGTAGTATTAACTCCTGCAGAATTAAGCAATTATTGCCATAAAATGATACACCAAATGTATGTTAAATTTTGACTTAGAAACAGGAGTGGAGAAATATGATTTCTTTCTTTTAGCATCTTGAGAGAATGTGAATGCGCAGTTAGATACTGTACGATCTGTAGAGGTGCTATCTGCATCATAAAAGCTGATTTTAGGGCAACATATAGGCTAATGATAAGCTGCATGTATCTAATTATCGACAAGTTGACTTACAAATTAGCCTATAAGCAGAAACATATCTAAATCAGGCAAAGAAAAAAAAAAACTTTATCATATACAGTCGGGCGGTTGCAGATGGGTTATTATAGCAATTTCTGGCGGGTGCGGGTGAACAAACAGCTGACTCGCGCGCCACTAAAACACACCTGTACAGAAAGCTCCAATATGCCATGAAGGAATGCCTCGCTTGGCAGCCTAGTCTCATAGACTAGACGTAGCATAGTAAATGTACATCTGGGACACTCAAATTAGTATGATATGTGATGTTTATATGGTTACATAAGACAGAAGGTTACTTAAGGCAAAAATTAAAAGAGGGTGGTTGGGTGGGCGTATATATAGTGAACGTATAGCAACCCAAGGGTTGTGTGTTCGAATATCATCACGGACAACTTTAGTATTTTAGCTTATTAGAAACTTTGCACCTACTTTTTAGCTACTTTGAAACTACTTAGCATGTTAGGTAACCCTTCCCCTAACCTTAACCCTTTTAGCTAATCCTTCCCCTAACCCTAACCTTAACCCTTTAACCTAACTTCTAACCTTAACCCTAAACTTAATCCTAACCTCTAACCCTAACCCCTAGCCTAGCTAACGTTAGCCAGCTAGCTAAAGGTAGCGTTGGCCACTTAGCCTAACTAAAGTTTTCTAATAACAAAATGGAATTCCTAACATATCCTACGTTTAACAATTTGTAACATATTGTATGTTTTGTGAATTTGAATTCAAATTTGTAACATATTGTATGAATGGCAATTCTTACCATATCATACAAATTATAATTTGTAACATTACATACGAAATGGATGATGGACATTCACAAATTAATACTTGCCATACAAAACGTAACATACAGTATCATACTAAATTTAGTGTCTTGGATTTACGTACATAATAATACAAAATGCTCTGAGACCAGGTTGCGCTAGGGGAGCCTCTCTCTACCTCCTCCTCCTCCCTCATTCTTCCCAACCTGTCCATTTAATTCTATGTTCTCTCCAACCATGCCACCGTTTCCTTTTGGCTTCATTCAGACTGGAAGGACATGGTGTACAGAGAGACAGCGGGGACGGCAGGGAGAATAGAACAGAGAACAGCCATTGGACACAGAGCTTTGGGAGAGATTAGAGTAGAGATGCACACAACACAACACATCACAACACCACCACAGGCTGTTTCTGTACCTTTTATTTGATCACTCTTTTGTTGCTGAGATTTTTCCTGCACAGAAGGAAATGCAAACTTGTAGTGTATTCTAGATTTAAATGTCAGACTTGAAATGCCCTAATGAAAAAGGTATCAACCCCTACACAAAATGTATTATAATCCACATTTCCTGTTGCTGCAGGATTATTTTCCTGCTGTAGCAAACTGGCTCAAATTAAGATCCTACATCTGTAACCAAGGATTAGTCCTTTAGCTATAGAGGAGGCAGCAGTGGTGTCATAGCAGCAGAACACTTACCCATGTAAAACAGGGCAGAGGAAACGGCTCCACCAGAATGGGCCTTTACATAACATTGATGTGATGGAAAGGAGTCATGGGAAGAATGAATGTTTGAGTACGGAGAGACTGTGTGTGACAGGGTTCTTTCTGGAATATTCAGTTTCTAGAATGTTGTTAATGAGTTTTTGATTTATAATTAATTCATTTGGAGCATACAGTGATGCATCAGAGGTGATGCTGGGAGGTTGGAATGGTGGACTGACTGAATGGCTGGACCAGGGTTTTCTTTCCACTGAGGACATGGCTGTATGTGTGTCTAGGCCACCGGGAGCAGCCATTCGCTGCTGCAATTCAGCATGACAGGAGACTCATAAATACCACACACACACACACACGCACACACACACACACACACTCTCTCTTTCCTCTTCCTCCTTTCTACACCACCATGTCAGAGGAAGCCAGAGAGGCAATACCACTGCAGCCATACTGCAGGAATATACTATTGCTGTTGAGAACAGGAAGTCACTAGATAAAAATAAAATAAAAATGGTCATTTAGCAGACGCACTTATCCTGAGCGACTTACAGTTAGTGCATTCACCTTAAGATAGCTAGGTAGGACATCCACATATCACAGTCAAAGTTCATTTTTCCTCAAAGTAGCTATCAGAAAGGTCAGAGCTAGTAAGGCGGAAAGAGTCAAGTGCGGGTGTTAGATCACGAACGCCTTTTTAAAAGTATTTTTTACATGTCGTTTTAAAAAAAAGATCTAAACCGTCTCCACACTCTAGCTTCATGACAGAGGATGACACAGGGATCGATGGTTAACACCATGAGTCAGAACCACAGAGTATCCCTATGATCCGCTGCTATTATAATGCAAGAAGAAGAGGAGGAACGTCCACGTGTCAGGACTGAGGGACAGATGGACGAATGACAGATGGATGGTTGATGCTGTTGCCTCCCCTTCAACGATACACCCAAGCTGCCAGCCAGAACACAGGAGGAAAACCACATCTTTGGTAGCATAGAACACCACCTGTACTTTGTTATCTTTCTCCCGTTCTCTTTGGACGGGGAGCTCTGGAGCAGAGTCAAGCTTAGTCGCCGCTGTTTGAACAGCAAATATGTATGAGACAGGCAGAGCGCTTGGAAAAGGAAGGCGGAGAGGGGGGTTTGCTCTTTACGTCTGGCAACCAATGCCTTGAGCTTCTTTTGTGAGGGGAAATGAACTATACGGAGTATACACAGAGGGACGTTGTCCTGTTAGGGTGGTCAGGGAGTGGACATGACTCTTCAACCTGCTAACCCATCTCTGGTGTGTGTGTGTGTTTCACTGAGGTGAACACACACACACATACACACACATACACACACACACACCCTCCTCTCCCACACACACACACACACACACATCTCTGTCCGCTTGACCCCAGGGCTCCAGTGTTAGTGGTGGGGCTGGGGTGGGTGGAGTAGTGTTGACTCTCAGTGATGTAAGCTCCGATGAGACGGGCAGATTAACAGAATAAGGCAAACACAGCACCGTGCCAACACCAGACGCAGTGTATACAGATTAATATAACAATGCGCCACGCCAGCACCCTCCTAATCCATTTGCATAACTCTTTTGAATGTGTTTGGGAAAATTTCTCCGCATTCGTTTGAAAAGCCTACCTCAACGTGGAAACTTGTACCTAGGTGGTCCATTCCGACCCACAGCAGTTGTTTACCTAGCTCTGCTGAGAATCACAGACAGACAGACTGAGGGAGGAAGCAGACAGACAGACAGACAGAGGGAGGGAGGGAGGAAGCAGACAGACAGACACACAGAGGGAGGAAGCAGACAGACAGACAGAGGGAGGGATGGAGGGAGGGAGGGGGGGAGGGAGCAGTCAGACAGACAGACAGAGCGAGGGAGGGGAGGGAGGAAGCAGACAGACAGACATACAGAGGGAGGAAGCAGACAGACAGAGGGAGGGAGGGAGGGAGGGAGGGAGCGAGGGAGGGAGGGAGGGAGGGGGGGGAGGGAGCAGTCAGACAGACAGACAGAGGGAGGGAGGGGAGGGAGGAAGCAGACAGACAGACATACAGAGGGAGGAAGCAGACAGACAGAGGGAGGGAGGAGGGAGGGAGGGAGGGAGGGAGGGAGGGAGGGAGGGAGGGAGGGAGGGAGGGAGGGAGGGAGGGAGGGAGGGAGGGAGGGAGGGAGGGAGGGAGGGAGGGAGCAGACAGACAGACATACGGAGGGAGGAAGGAAGCAGACAGAAAGACAGACAGACAGAGGGAGGGAGGGAGGGAGGGAGGGAGGGAGGGAGGGAGGGAGGGAGGGAGGGAGGGAGGGAGGGAGGGAGGGAGGGAGGGAGGGGGAGGGAGGGGAGGGAGCAGACAGACAGACAAACAGAGGGAGGAATCAGACAGACAGACAGACAGAGGGAGGAAGCAGACAGACAGACAGACAGAGATGTGTCTTATTTGACAGGTACACACACAGTGCACCTGGAGGGGAGTCTCGCTCCTCCTCCCTTGTCTTCCTCCAGCAGTGTGTGAGCTGACATGTTCGTCTCAGTTAAAATGTACGGCCCCACTGCAGCAAAGAGGGTACGCATCGCACCACTCCTTCCCTCCCTTCTCTTCCTCCCCCCTTTCTAGCCCTCTCTCCTCCTCCGTCTCTCGCCTCCCATCCCCGACCTGTCTCCTTCCTACCTACCTGTCTCTCTGGGTCGATCTTCCCTGCCTGCAACCCCGTTCTGTGTTTACATGACAGATTGCGCCCCAGTGGGAACCTTAATTGCATCATTTCATGGATGCGAGTCAGTGCGGTGGCCTAGAAAAGGTAAACAGGGATCTGGATCCAGGACCAGAGAGGGAGGGAGGGAGGGAGGGAGGCCTTTTTTTCAGCTTAGATGCCAAAAACCCAAGACTTCTCAGGCTAAGAGAGCGAGAGAGATGCATTTGTAAGAAATAGGCTCACATTCAAATCCGACACATGCCGGGCAGTGATTTGGTTCTGCCTTGTTTGTTTTGATATGTGATAAGGGTTTGGGGGGAATGTTTAGGGGGGGAAGGAAAAGAAAGACGCACATTTGTAGGAAAGCATGTCTTCATCAGTCAGTGGCTCGGTCCAGGGAATATGAGAGTTCAGCTGCCTGGGTCGGTCACGCATTACACAAGTAGTATTCCCTGAGTCAGCCATGTAAACACATGAAGTAATAGAATACACTACGCAATTAGGGGTGTGACAAAACCAGATACACAACCAGGGGATTGACACACACGGAAACCACCATCGATGTTTATACAGGCCAAATCCAGCTCTCGCACATAAATCAATATTGTTGCAAAGCGCTGTGGGCCGTGTTGTTTTAAATCGGGGCAATAGATTAATATGAATATTGAACACACGAGAGCAATATAGATCATGTAGGTAAGTCCACCCAACTTGATAAATCATCTTTCCCATGCGGTTATGTTATGACCTCTCCATAGCATGACATAAACGCTTCAGAACATATGACACAAGCACTGATTCAATTGATGTTTTATTGTCACATACACCAGATAGGTGCAGTAAAATGTGTTGTTATAGTACTGAGAGCCTAGCGTACAGCATATCTGCCACGGTGTATCCTTCAGCTGCCAGTTGTTGTGGTATTGTAAAATGGAACTGTACTATTAGATTACTATGGAAACCATGATTCATCCTGAAGGAGTCTGTTTAGATTTCAAGTCAGGCTGGAGCAGATGTCATAATGATCATTTATATACGGTATACCCTCCCTTCCTTCCAAGAAAGTGTAATTGACAGACCTTAGTGGCCTTCCTATGAACAGTGCACTCCAAAAGTATTTGGACAGTGACACATTTGTTGTTGTTTTGGCTCTGTACGCCAACACTTTGGATTTGAAATGATACAATGACTATGAGGTTGACTGCCCGCTTTAAATAATAATGAGTGAGAAAGTTACAGACGCACAAATATCATACCCCCAAGACATGCTAACCTCACACCATTACAATTACAGGGGAGGTTAGCGTTTTTTTGGGGGTATGATATTTGTGCATCTCTAACTTTCTCACTCATCATTATTCACGATTCATTCAGGATTATCCGTAATCATGTGTCACGATCGTCGGTAAGAGAGGAGGACCAAGGCGCAGCGTTGAATGCGAACATATTTATTATAGGTGATACACGATCAAAACAACAAAACGATAACGTGACAGTCAACGGTCTAACACAAACCAACTAGAACAAGATCCCACAACCACTGTGGGCAAACAGCCTGTTTAAATGTGGTTCCCAATCAGAGACAACCAGCCACAGCTGACACTCGTTGCCTCTGATTGAGAACCACACTGGCCAACATAGAAATGGAATACATAGATCTACACACCCTGGCTCAACATAACAGTGTCCCCAGAGCCAGGGCGTGACATCATGGTAGCATCCACATGAATGTAGAAGTGTTTAGAAACATATTTTATTCTTATTTACAATAAAGTGACTCCAAAATGACACAATACATTATTTACCATTGATTTCTATTGGGCACAAAATAATCTGAGAAACAATCAAAACAAACAGCAAACGCATTCAACAATGTACAACAACTTTGTACAGTCACAACCCTGATGTAGTCATTGCATGCTATGAATATGGGAACAAATACTAAACTTTTTACTACTTTAATACACATACAAGTGAATTTGTCACAATACTTTTGGTCCCCTAAAAGCACAAAAAGTGCTGTAATTTCTAAACGTTTCACCCGATATGGAGGAAAAAACCCTCAAATGAAAGCTAACAGTCTGCTCAAATCCAAAGTGCTGGTGTAGAGAGACAAAACAACATAAAATGTGTGACTGTCCAAATACATTTGGAGCTTACTGTAGAGCACTATTTTGACCAGAACCTTATGAGGTAGCCCTGTGTGGTTTGGACTAGAGTAGTGCACTATTTAGGCTATGCCATTTCAGTCCCCTATACTACCAATACAATGCCATTTCAGTCCCCTATACTACCAAAACAATGCCATTTCAGTCCCCTATACTACCAATACACTGCCATTTCAGTCCCCTATAGTACCAATACAATGCCATTTCAGTCCCCTATACTACCAAAACAATGCCATTTCAGTCCCCTATACTACCAATACACTGCCATTTCAGTCCCCTATACTACAAAAACAATGCCATTTCAGTCCCCTATACTACCAATACACTGCCATTTCAGTCCCCTATACTACCAATACAATGCCATTTCAGTCCCCTATACTACCAATACAATGCCATTTCAGTCCCCTATACTACCAATACAATGCCATTTCAGTCCCCTATACTACCAATACAATGCCATTTCAGTCCCCTATACTACCAAAACAATGCCATTTCAGTCCCCTATACTACCAATACACTGCCATTTCAGTCCCCTATACTACAAAAACAATGCCATTTCAGTCCCCTATACTACCAAATACACTGCCATTTCAGTCCCCTATACTACCAATACAATGCCATTTCAGTCCCCTATACTACCAATACAATGCCATTTCAGTCCCCTATACTACCAATACAATGCCATTTCAGTCCCCTATACTACCAATACAATTCCATTTCAGTCCCCTATACTACCAAAACAATGCCATTTCAGTCCCCTATACTACCAATACACTGCCATTTCAGTCCCCTATACTACCAATACATGCCATTTCAGTCCCTATACTACCATACATGCCATTTCAGTCCCCTATACTACCAATACAATGCCATTTCAGTCCCCTATACTACCAATACAATGCCATTTCAGTCCCCTATACTACCAAAACAATGCCATTTCAGTCCCCTATACTACCAATACAATGCCATTTCAGTCCCCTATACTACCAATACACTGCCATTTCAGTCCCCTATACTACCAATACAATGCCATTTCAGTCCCCTATACTACCAATACAATGCCATTTCAGTCCCCTATACTACCAATACACTGCCATTTCAGTCCCCTATACTACCAATACACTGCCATTTCAGTCCCCTATACTACCAATACAATGCCATTTCAGTCCCCTATACTACCAATACAATGCCATTTCAGTCCCCTATACTACCAAAACAATGCCATTTCAGTCCCCTATACTACCAATACACTGCCATTTCAGTCCCCTATACTACCAATACAATGCCATTTCAGTCCCCTATACTACCAATACAATGCCATTTCAGTCCCCTATACTACCAATACAATGCCATTTCAGTCCCCTATACTACCAATACAATGCCATTTCAGTCCCCTATACTACCAAAACAATGCCATTTCAGTCCCCTATACTACCAATACCACTGCCATTTCAGTCCCCTATACTACCAATACAATGCCATTTCAGTCCCCGTATACTACCAATACCATGCCATTTCAGTCCCCTATACTACCAAAACAATGCCATTTCAGTCCCCTATACTACCAATACACTGCCATTTCAGTCCCCTATACTACCAATACACTGCCATTTCAGTCCCCTATACTACCAAAACAATTCCATTTCAGTCCCCTATACTACCAATACACTGCCATTTCAGTCCCCTATAATACCAATACAAGCCATTTCAGTCCCCTATACTACCAATACAATGCCTTTCAGTCCCCTATACTACCAATACAATGCCATTTCAGTCCCCTATACTACCAAACAATGCCATTTCAGTCCCCTATACTACCAATACACTGCCATTTCAGTCCCCTATACTACCAATACACTGCCATTTCAGTCCCCTATACTACCAATACACTGCCATTTCAGTCCCCTATACTACCAATACAATGCCATTTCAGTCCCCTATACTACCAATACAATGCCATTTCAGTCCCCTATACTACCAATACACTGCCATTTCAGTCCCCTATACTACCAATACACTGCCATTTCAGTCCCCTATACTACCAATACACTGCCATTTCAGTCCCCTATACTACCAATACAATGCCATTTCAGTCCCCTATACTACCAATACAATGCCATTTCAGTCCCCTATACTACCAATACAATGCCATTTCAGTCCCCACATACTACCAATACACTGCCATTTCAGTCCCCTATACTACCAATACACTGCCATTTCAGTCCCCTATACTACCAATACAATGCCATTTCAGTCCCCTATACTACCAATTCAATAATGACAGGCTGTGGTCTGATTTTTGAAAAGCAAGATTTGCATTTGTTCTGAGAGATATTCAGTTCTATAAAAGTTCTGTTCACTGAAATAAAATGTTTCTGGGGAAAAGGATTAAATAAATGATTGTATTCTTTCCCATTCAAATCACAAATAGTCAATTATTTTGTCATTATCTCTGTCTGTCTCCCTCTGTCTTTCCTCTCATAGTATTTAGTTGGACTAACTCTTCAACTCATGTATACAATATTATAACATGCACTTCCAGCCATCTTGGTCCTACAAATATTTAGCATACAGACTCCTCATGTTTATTCAAAGTGCTGGGTTACACTGTTTATGACAGATATGCCGGCCAGGGCCCTATGGGAGGGGGAAAAGAAAACTATTCCAAATGAAAAGTCATGATTCATGCCACAGATAGTGTATAAACTAAAATATATGCTGCCTGCTGGCTGCTTGGACCTTGAAGCACAATTGCCCAGTTCCACTTTACGCAATTTTGATTGGCTCTAAACAGTGTAAAGACAACTTAGTATTGCATTACTCTAAATAGGGAGGGAGCTGCCTGAGAGGACTGTGTGTGGTGAGGTGGGTGGTCCACCTCCACTATCGTTACAACCAGGGAGCTTGATTGATATTTTCAGAAGGAAA